TTGACACGCAACATAGGATCCTGTTATATATTCAGCCACACACGATGACAATGCCGCCACATATTGCTTTTGCGAGTACCATGAGATCGGGGCACCAAAGACTTGAAAAGGATAACCAGTTGTGCTTCTTATATCTTCCTTATCTTCACACCAATCAACATCTGAATAACAAGTAACATTAACTCCCTTGCTTTCAGAATCACGTCGAAATAAAATTCCACAATTTATCGATCCTTTTAAATATCTCAAGATTCTTCTTACAACCTTCATGTGTGATATCTTTGGTTCACTCATGTATATGCTCACTAATCTGACTGTGAAACGTATATCAGGTCGACAGTTGTATACATATCTCAGAGATCCAACAATTTGTTTGAATAAAGTTACATCGACTTGTCTTCCTCTTCATGTTTCTCTACTTCAAATTTGGTTCGACAGACGAAGATGTAGGATTTGAATCATCCATTATGAATCTCTTAAGTATTTCTTTGACATACTTCCTTTGATGTAGCACCCTACCTTGCTTTGTAATTTGAAATTCCATACCTAGGAAATATGACAAGTTTCCCAGATCCAACATTTCAAATTTCCTCATCATTAGCTCTTTGAACTTCGACAAGTTGTCTAAGTTATTTCTAGTTACCAACAAGTCATCGACACATAAGCATGTGATTGTTATATATTGTGCCACAACTTGAACATAGACACCATACTCAAATTTTCATTTGATGAATCCTAATTTGGCTAAGTATGAGTCCATCTTCTTGTTCCATGCCCTAGGTGCCTGTTTGAGGCTATAAAATATTTTGTGCAACTTATACACATTACTCGCTTCTTCCTAAATCACAAACAAATGAGGTTGTATGACATAAACCTCTTCGTCTAAGGGGCCATTCTGAAATGCTTACTTCACATCTAAGTGAAATATCGACCAACATTGCTTGTGTGTCAAGGCAACACCCAATCTGAAAGTCTCCAATCTTGCGACATGTGCAAATAATTTAGAGTAGTCGAGTCCTACTCTCTAAATAAATCTTCGAGCTATCAATCTCACCTTATAACTTACTATCGACCCATCAACATTGTGCTTTAAGTTGAACACCACTTCACTTTGGTAGCTTTTGTATGAGCTGGAAATCCGACTAACTCCTATGTGTTTTTACTTTCGATTGCTTGTAACTCTTTAACCATAAAAGATTTCCATTGTTTATTCTTTAAAGCCTCCCTATAGTTTATTGGTTCATCACCTACAAGTAAAGCAAAATGAACTAATTCTCCATCTATTGTGACTTCGTCATCAATAATCACTTCATAGTCTTGAAGTCTTGTTGGACAAACTCTAGTTCTTTGAGGTATTTGGCTTGTGCTAGCCACACCTTCTTCAACTTCGACGGTGTGGGGAATGTTAGTAAGTGCTTCGACTTCGACTTTGATTGGAATATCGATAATTTCTTTGACTTCAACTTCATTAGTTTCTTTGTTGAAGCCATAACTCATCAAAGGCTTCTTAATTGCATCACCAAAATACCAATCCCAGGAAAAAAATTCATCAATCACAATATCTCGACTCATCACGATCTTCTCATTAATTGGATTGAACAATCTGTATGCTTCATTTTTATGATATCCTACCAAAATTATATGTTCACTCTTGTCATCAAGCTTCCTTCTTCTCGCGTCAGGAACATGCTTGTAAAAAATAGAGCCACACACATTCAAATGATTCACTGATAGTCATTTTCCACTCCACACTTCTTCAGGAACCTTGTTCTTTAACTTCTTGGTAGGGCACATGTTTAGAATATAAACAACAGTGGTGACTACTTAACCCTATAAGAATTTCGGCAGATTTTTCTACTTCAGCATGCATCTCGCCATATCCAATATGGTTATGTTTCTTCTTTCTGCAATTCCATTATGTTGAGGTGTATAGGGAGAAGTTGCCTCATTATCGACACCATGTTTTGCATAGAACTCCTCAAACATCTTGGATGTGTATTCGCCACCTTCATTTGTTTCCAGAACTTTGATCTTCTTCTCACTCTTGTTTTTTACTAGTATCTTGAATCTCATAAAGATTTCGAATACTTTGTACTTTTGATGGATCAAATAGATCAAGAGATTTCGTCTATACTCGTCGATAAATGAATCAAAATACATATTTCCCCTAATGGTATGCTCATCAAAAGGGCCATATACATATGAATGTACAACTTCGAGTATATAGGAGGATCTCATTGGCATAGTCAAAACAAACGATTTTCTAGATTTCTTCCCTACTAAGCAACCTTCACAGAGTTTATCGGGCATCTCAAGACTTGGTATACCTATTACTGTTGTACTCTAATTTTTGACCTAAGATCTCACCTCATAGGTATAATCACATCTATAACAAAATGCAAAAATAGTTGTGTGTTTGCTCCTTATGTCAAGCAGTTTTTTTTAAATCAAGAGGTTTTCATCAATACAAGTTTTGATCAAATTAGGATTTTTGATTGAAGAAAATGGATCATTGACTTTTGGCTTAGTGAGTGGCCTAATAGTTTGAAACATGATTCAAAGAACTCAAATGCAACATCTTGACCTAATTATATGGCTCAAGACATTTTCAAAGATACAATTGATTGATAGTGAAAGAATTGGAGTCAACTGATGAAAAGTCAACTGTCACACAAAAGTCAAACTTTGGCTTTTTGGTGAACATTGAAATTCAAAGATCAAGGATCATCAAAACATTCAAAATTATCAAACTTGATCACCAAGAATCAAGAGAATCAAGAAAAGTCAACACAAGTCAAAAGTTGAAGGTTTTTGAACACTTAGAAAAATTCAAGTGTTTTTGCACTTAAAAAGCCCTAACTTCATGGACAAGTTTCACAAAGATCCAAACTGATTCAAGAAAAACTTTCAACATGAAAGTTGTATGAAATGGAAAGTTATACAACTTTGTCAATCAGGATTCATCTCCAAAAAATGATCAAATTAAGAGATATGAGCATGTGAAGTTCTGCGAACACTTAGAGAAATTTATCAAACAGTTTTGACCTTAAAATTTGACCAACTTTATGACCATTTTCACTAAGATCCAAATTGATTTAGAGAAAGTGTTCAACATGAAAGTTGTAGAGGAAACTTCAAGCTTTCCAAAATGTCCGAGAGCATGAATTTATCATACTTGAGCTGGAAGTTTCAAAGAGATGAAGTTGACATTTCATACTTGAATTACAAGTCATTTTTGAGATGACCTTATGATCAAATCTCCAAACCATGCTATACAATCACACTTTTCAGGCCATAGTACCTCTAAACCTATCCAAGATTAGAAGAGTACACAAACTTTTGAGTCTTTGTCCAAGTGATACAAGCTATTATCCAATTAACTTGCCATTTTAGGAAGAAAGACACCATTGCTATTCTTGAAAAGTAAAATTTTTGTACAAAGTATTCCTTGAGCCCATACCCTTGATTTCTTCTGATCACACTCCACCCTAAAACAAGGAAGCAACCTCTATATACAACTCTTTGTACTATGCATTGGAACCATGGAAGTTACATATAACTTGATATTTGTTTTGGAACTAAACCATAACTTGATAACTTGAGAATTTGTCCATCTCATTACCTATGAGTTTTCTCTATAAATAGAGAGCTCATTTGCATTTCAAACACACCAATTCACAGCTTAGAAACACCTCTAAACTCTCTCTAATTCAAAAATTGTTCAAAAACTTCATTAAAGCTAAAAAAAAACCATTTCTTTGAAATTCTCAAACCTTGCAAGTTTTATGCAATCTAACCATCCAAACACTTCATAAACATCTTATAGAAGCCATCTAAACCCCTGTCACACTTCTGTAACGCCATCATCATCATCCTTCATTTTCACTTTTGGTCATTTGCAACTTGAGGTGGTTAGAACATTTCAGCAAGCTTCAGAGCAAAGTAAGGATTGAAATAATTTAAGGAAGGTTCCAACAAATTCATAGGATAATCACTTTGCATTGAAAAGTCATAGAAGAACCTTTGAACTTTTCTTCAAAGAGGTAAATTCTTGTTGAGAATCAAGTGTGAGGAAGAAGTCCCACATTGATTATAAAAAGGGAAGATTGAGCACTTATATATGAGAGAACCCACTCATCTATCATGTTGAGAATCAAGTGTGAGGAATACCACTGTAGGGGCAATTCCGAGGAGAAAGCATTTTACTTGGGACACACCTTTGTGAGAGACACACCACTTATCCATCTAAAACCTTAGTGGACAAGTGGTGTGTCTCTCACAAAGGTGTGTCCCAAGTAAAATGCTCTCTCCTCAGAATTGCCCCTACAGTGGTATCATGAGCCTTTGGTTTCAAGATAGGGACCAACTTACTTGTATCGAGCGATGGTACAAGTGTATGTGGAAGAGAGTCATTCCAATCAAGTGTGAGGAAGAAGTCCCACATTGATTATAAAAGGGAAGATTGAGCACTTTATAAGTGAGAACACCCACTCATCTATTACCTTAAGCTTTTAGATAGACAAGTAGTGTGTCCCAAGTAAAATGCTTTCTCCTCAGAATTGCCCCTACAATTCTGACCTCTTTCGAAAACCATCATACATACATCATTTACATTCAATTTCTAAAGATAAAATATAGATATGATTATCCTGAAATTAATCATGTAGTTATCTTTCATTAATTTTGCTTGTGTGATGAGAATAATGAAACTGATCGGTTAGAGTTTTGTTTTGATAAATAATTATCATGATTGAATTTCTGATAAAATTTTAAACAACTTTAATAAAATAGTGTTAATTGTTGAAATTTAATGTCAAATTAAACTTTGACACTTTAATGTCATTTGATCGTATTCCATATTTATACATAAAAATGTTCTTTACAATAATGTAATAGTATAAAATTAAAAAAAGTGTTTTTTTATTAAAAGAGGGAATCATTGTTAGAAGTATAATTTATATAGGGGAGATGAGTATGAGAGAAGAATTATTAAGGTGAGAATGACGGAGGCTTGCATCCGAACCGCCGTAGAAGCCATACACTCTTCACCATACCAAGCCGTTCTCTATCTTGCTGGTGGAGCTTCTCAGGTTTTCTTCTCCCTCTCTCTCTGCGCACTTTTGTATATTTTTAGATGCTCGAATTGAATTACTGAATCCATGCGATCAGGCTCTAGGTTTATTGCTATCCGTTCCCGGTGCTTCAAATACTGTGCTCGAAGCTGTGGTTCCTTACTCTAGAATGTCTTTGATCCAGTTACTTGCCAAGGTCCTTTTTTTTTTCCTCTTCAATTTCATCACTATACGAACGTAGTTGCACTCTTTTGATTGATTGAATTTTTTTTTCCCGGTAGATTCCATCCCAATTTTGTAGTCAACAGACTGCTCAAGATATGGCTTTATTGGCTTATAATCGCGCCCTTAAACTATCCACTCCAGGTTCAGTAATCCTAATTCAAATATTGCATTTATAGGTCTGAAGCACCAGAAACACACTACACTGACAACTATATGCTGACAATGATAATAATTTTAAAAAGTGAATTAATTAGACGTAATCACAAGTGTTGGTGTCGATTTTGAATAAGGACACCGACACAGACACATACACGCCCTATATGAAAATCTGATTTTGTTTTCTCTTTTGTTATAGAAATAACTTAAATACAAGCACTTATATGCCTAAAGCACTTATTTAAGTTATTTATCAGAACAGACTCTTATGTCGTATGCATTTACATGTTGATTAGGATCCCCAGTTGTTGGTGTGGGCTTCACTGGTTCTTTGGCGAGCAGTCGCCCAAAGCACGGGGAACATAGGTAGTATTTTCTAAATTTACTTTTATTAAAAATGGTCAGTATATTTGTAAGGTTTTCAATAGTTTTCTTATATGCTCCTCAAATTTATAAAAGGTTTTCTGTGGGACTATATGCCACATTATTGGATTTGTGTATACAAGTTTCCTCTATTCCACTGGCTTATTGCTAACTGGATTCCTGATTATGTTTGAACATGTCGTACCTTGAGTACACCTAGTGGACCTTAGAGTTATTTCTGTTTAGGTTAATAAGTTCATATAAGATCTTGCAAAACTAATCTAGCAACACCTCGTGAAGCTACCATAGGAATGTTGATAGGTTAAACTTATTTTCTTTGTATGGAGAACAGGGCTAGGTTAATGTGACTGGTTTGTAGATCAAATTTTGCTGGAAAGCATTGATAAGCTAGGTGGAATTTAACGAAAATATCAAATAAACTGCTACAACCTCTTGGATTGTAATAACTTGTGTTTCAGGAACTATTTGTAGAGTGTATTTGTTCAAGAATGAGACGATACAAACTATTATCCACCACGACTGGAATTAGTTAATAAGGCCTGGATTTATTTCGGTAATCACATATTGAGATTGTCATCATCTACCAAGCGAGATTTATAATGAGGGAAATATATTTTCTCACTGTTCTCTTGCTATTGATTATTTTCTCATGACTTCCTGCAAAGATACGTTTTCGAAAATGCAGCTAGCAGTATTAGTCATGAGTATATAAATAAAGATAATAGAAGTTAAACTCAACCATATAGAAGTGCATTACTTCTGCTTTTCAAGTTACCTCTGGATTTATTTTGTATAATTTGATTGCAGGACTTTGAATCTTGTTAATCTGTCACATTTTCTTTAGAGAAACTGTTTTTTCCCGTATGTGATTTTTGAGAAGACTAGTCATATCTGAACTTCTTTTATTTTCATATATAGATTTTATCTGTCGACAAGGACAGCTGAGCGACTTTGGATATCAAGAGTGACCTTGACCAAGGTTGTTATTTTGAACTTGAGGCTAAACATGTGATACTTTCATGCATGCACGTGCACACACATACAGGAATTTGCTAACATACTCCCACTTATTTATTAAAAGAAGTATATTAGCAGACTATACATTTTTTATTTGGACAAAAAACTCATTCTCTTTTTTCTCAAAAATCATTGAAGTCAATGGATATTAATGTAATTCACAATAGTCATACACAAAAAAGTAGGGGTGTGGCAAACAGGCATGCCCACCCCGTTTAGGCCCGCTCCACAAAAAAACGGGGCGGGACGGTCATAGTTGAGGATGAGGGCCTAAAACCTAGATCCGCCCCGCAAAAAAGTGAGTACGGATGGGGAAAGCCCGCGGGCACTACACCTTTTAAGCCTAAAAATACAAAATTTTATGTTAATACTCATGCCCGTGAAGAAAATAGGGCGGGGTGGACACATTAGAGAGTGTGGGCCTAAATTCTAGGCCTTACCCGCACTAAAGTGCGGGCAAAACGGGCATGCCCAATGGGCCGGGCCCGTTTTGCCACCCCTACTAAAAAGCTAGGAAGTAACCCTAGATAGAACAAACCTGCTAGATCCTTGGTTAACTTTGCATTTAGACACGAATAAATTGAGAAGCAAAGTTGTAATTCGAAATCAATTCAAACAAATAAAGGGAAAAAATAGAGTCAGGAGTAATAACTAGAGACACCAAAAATGAAATGTGAGGAATCGCACTTTGTTTTGTGACCCTCTTCAATTTCGCACGAAGAACAAGCATCTCTAGTTTCTATCATTGGTGGAATGAGAGTTATAGTTTGAAAAACAGGCAGGGGAAATTTTAAGCGACCACAATAACTACAAACAAACCACCAACATATAGTCAATCACCCTATCCTCAGTGTCTATCCCGCCGAGATGGCATCAATGACAACCCTAGCGGTTCTAAATGGTAAATCAAATGCGGTGGTCGGCGGCTGCGGTGGTGGGTTTTATGGTGCTAACCTCTACTTCCACACAGAAAATTACCAAAATCAGTTGATGGTGGCTATGTTGTAACAGGGTGATTCTATCGGAACATTTCCAACAAAGCGGCGGTAGGAAAGGGAAGATAACAAGAAAGTGGAATATTTGGATTTCAAAAATAAAAATTGTAATTTACATTACTACCTACTGATTAAACCATTTTAAAAAGGAAAAGAGTGAGTTTTTTTGTCCAAATGAAAAAAGAGTGTAAGATGTTAATATACTTCTAATTAGTAAGTAAGTTTATTAGTAGTTTCCCCCGAACCGCCACGCAGACATAATAAATATTTATTTTTGTTGATTTTGCAAACTATTTTTTAATTTAGGGGCTACGTACTCGAGAAGAAGAAGATAAAGTTTCTAGTCATCTTTTGCTCAAGGTGTGTAGCAGGTTTGAGAAAAAAAGTGAATATTTTAGTTTTGCTTTTTATTTGCCCTTACATGTTGTTTTGTTTTCTTCTATTTTTCTCCTTCATAAGATTATGATAAAAACATTAGAGGTCCCATAAAATGAGACCAGGAACATTTGGAAGCTAAACTTTATTTTATCCCTTTCTCCATATTTGCGTAAATATCTTGATTTTTTTGGCTTTCGTTTTGCTCTTTTCTCTGTTCTGTTCAAGGCTATTGCAAATGCATGTAAGGTTCCTTCAAATGCTATTTCGGAGATGAGTGAATTGGACGTATCTGATGAATGTGAAAAGCAATTCAATGAAGATCAAGAGTTAGAACAACTTATTAACGGTCAAATATGCTTCAAGATATATCCATTTAGAAGTGGTATAGTTCAGTCTTTATGCAGAAGCAATATTATTAATACAGTTACAATTACATTTTACTTTCTTATTGATGATTTTATATGCTTTGGTTTCAGAGATACCAGCAGAAAGGAAAATAATACTGCCTGGTTCTTTCAATCCCTTACATGATGGGCATCTCAAGCTCATGGAAGTTGCAACTCGGTACAAAAACTCGTGCTATTTGCTAAATAAATGCACAAATTTATATATTCTATGTTTAATGTATTTAATGGCTACTTATTGAATACAAATATCTTCTAAATGCTTGTTGTTAATTTAATATGCTTGTTATAAATATGTTCTTGTCAAGAGGCTATTGTTCTTTTTTCATCTTTGAATGAATGGAAATCTCTGCCCGCATAGCTAGGATCAGTTATCTATATTTATGATGGTTTATTTAATTTTTTTCATGTTGTTAATATTAATACACGATCTCAGTTATTAAAGCACATCATGCAGCATTTGTGGTGATGGGTATCCGTGCTTCGAAATATCTGCGGTCAATGCAGACAAACCTCCATTATCAGTGTCTCAGATCAAAGATCGCGTCAATCAATTTGAGAAAGCTGGTGAGGTTATTTTATGCTCACTTGGGATCAGTATTCAAAATGCAGTTCCTGACTATGTGCATTAATTTTTCTTAAAGCTAATTTGTTACGCTATTTTATGAAGGAGACTCTATTTCTATTCTCATTCTTAACAGGGACTTATTTATTGCCTTTCTAGTGTACCATGTATTATATAATTGGTAATGTCGTAGTATTTTACATATAATACTGAATGAGATTAACATGTTTTTTTTCCCGAAAATTTAAGATAAGCTCATATGACAATATGTTAGACTGAAAAATAGAATTAAAAGGACTCAAATGAATTAGGATTAGTCAGGGCAGTTAGTCACTGCAAATTGTATTTGAGAGAAAACCGAGCATTGCTCAGGGCGGGTATATCTTGGTTTTTCTGTAGATCTGTTCATTCAATAAAGCTGTTCTTTCATTTTCTCTATTTTCGTCACTTTTGCAAATATGATACTCCGAGCTTAATACTTTTTTTTCAGTACTTGTTTATTATTGTTTAATGAACCACCTGAAGTTGAAAATGATTTCTCTACAACAATTGCAGGACAGACAGTAATTATATCAAATCAGCCTTATTTTTATAAAAAGGCTGAACTTTTTCCCGGCAGTGCTTTTGTAATTGGTGCTGACACAGCAGTGAGGCTCGTTAATGTATGCAACTACTGACTCTTTGATCAATTTTACTTAATTTTCAATATTTCATGTCCTGCAACATTTCATGGCTGACTACAGTTCAGAATAATGAGTTTTTGTAATCTGGTTCTGAACTGTGCACAGTAAAACTTATATAGTTTTGCAGCATTCTATTTCAGGATAATGTGACACAACAGACAAAGTTTAATACACAATGAGATAGTGTGATTCTGAAATTCTCAGTTTGTGCTATACTTTTTTTTAACAGAAAATCATGTTATTCTTGCAGCCTAAATACTATGACGGGGACTACAACAAGATGCTGAAGATACTTATTGGATGTAAAGAAACAGGATGCACCTTCCTTGTGGCTGGTCGGAATGTAGATGGTGCATTTAAGGTAGTACCCCATAGGAAAAGAGCATCCTGATTTTGGCACTCATATTTTTCAAAGTTCATTGTTATTGAGACCATTGTGTGGTACTACAGGTTCTTGAGGATTTGGATGTTCCAGAGGAACTAAAAGACATGTTCATCTCCATTCCAGCTGAACAGTTCCGCATGGACATATCCTCTACTGAGATAAGAAAAAGAAGCGGGATGTAAATATTTGTATGGATGGAATCACTTCCTTCCATGGAGCACAAATTTGCATGATAAAAGTGGCAAGTTCGGTCTTATGGAATTTGCAACAATCGCAATTGCAGAAGGTACAGTTTTCTGAGCCAAAATTTATGTTCGTAGAACTATCATTTTCATTGTTGTTTATTAAAGAGAAGTCAGGTGCGTGTTGGACACATCAAATACTCATGTACAAATATAAGGGTGTTCCCATTTTTGAATTTCAGGAGATTAAGATCACAGTATTTTAAAGTAAAGTGAATATGTCAATTGACTTGAACATTCTCAAATGCGTCCGGTTCTTATTTGTTGCAACACTGCTATACAATTGTTACATGAAAATACACTTTTTCAATTGAAGATTACAACTTTGCCTTGTACAGTCACAAAACCCAATACCATTTTGACTAGAACTAAAAAAAATCCCCTCTCTAGCTTCATAGTATGACAAGGGAATATACAAAAGTCAACCACCACAGCCTCCGCCACAACCTGCGCCACACCCGGCCGCCGCACAGGCAGAACCATTGGCATATACTGTGTTGCCGGAGTCTTTGGTTGAGTCTTTGGATATTCCATCTGCACAGAAGAAGATAATAGCAGCAAAAAGGGACAGAGTCACTAATACTGCACATAACATATAAACTACACTTGCAAACTCTTCCACCCAGCCACCACCACCGCCACCTTGGTGTCTTGTCAACAACTCTACCTCTTTCAATTGCCTCACCATTTTATGCTGCACAAAGCTCCTCGGAAGTGGAAAAACAAAAGTTAAAGAGAGAGGCTATACAATTATACTGTGCTTTGGAGCCACGAAAGGTTATGAATAATTGAATATAGTGTGGCTTCGGCTGATATATAAGGAAATAGAATGTGAATAAAGTGGGAATACTTTCGAGGAAAATTCTAAAGCATGTGATATGTGTGAATGAAGGAGCTGAATCCTAACCTTATCCTAAACTGTCAAACAAGGTATTGGGTCACGTAAAATACTAGGCTTTTATGCCGAAATGTCAAAGGTTTCGTATTCTTATATTGAAATTGACGTGTAATTTCCATAAAAATAAACTGACCAAAGTCTTTCAACTTGATATATATATATTTTTTTGACGGGAACTTGATATTTTATTAATAAGATAAAACAATGATGGTAAAATACTTTTTTTTGTCCCTATCTTTAACTCGGGGTCCAGTTCGGTCCCTTAACTTTTAAAAAGATCATTTTGATTCTCAACTTTTCAAAATGTATTAGGTTAGTCCTTTCTATCTAAATGACAATAATGGTGTCAAGTTTTGCTGATGTGGCGAGTGACGTGTAACAAAAAACTTTAGTAACTAGTTTGGCGAAGAAAAATTTGGTCACTAGAAAATTTATGGGTTTTGACCATCATCTTCCTCTATACCTTCAACTGAAAATTCAAAGCTGAGAAACAATGAAAATTGAAGAAAAAGGGACAAAACCCATTATCCAAATTGAAGAAAAAGGGATAAAACCCACAAATTAGTTAGGATTTAGTAAATTGAGAATGGATGGATTTCAATTGCTTCAGAAACAACAAATGACCCATTGTGGTGGCACCGTAAACTTGATGACATTACGTTGACCAACATCCATTGATTTGTGCCTGTGTTATTCTTTTTATCCTCTTTCACTTCACTTCAGTTTCCTAATTTTATGATTCAACAAACCATCATCGTTGAGAATGGATTCACATTTGAATAAAAAACGATTTTGGATCTCGGTATGTGAAAAGCATTTTGGATCTTTGATTTTAGATCTGGATTTATGATATCTCTCTATTACAAATGCAGTAACTTTCATATATTTGATTCGGTTGAGATTGGAACTTGGAAGTGTAATGGAGTTTCATCGGAAAAGAGGAGGTGCTAGATTGATGTCTCTATTGCCGTCGCAGACGCCGCTTTCCATTAATAAGTCGGGGTCGCGTTTAACATATATGAATGAAGAAGAAAAGTTGCAATTTGAATGAAAGAAGAAAAGTTGTAATTAACCATTGATCCGATGAAAGTTTCAATTTTTAAGTTCAATTTTTTAAAGTGTTCGTGTTGTTGTTGTTAGTGTTGCTTCTGCTATCCAATGAAAGTTCCTATTGCTTCAATTTTAAATTGCCATTGGTATATGTTCTGGATTGAGCTTATATTTGGTCCAAATATCATACAAGGTCTAATCCGACTGTGTTATGTGGGATAGTCTGCTAACGATGACTGTCCTCGACTAGTTCGGTCAGTAACCTCGTTCTTTTGATCGACATGGTTTTGCCTTACATGGACTACCTCAAGAATGGCGAGGAGGACTGAAGACGATTAGGAGGACCAGGACCTCACAAGCATACCCCATTCTTCTTGTCGACCAAGGCAAGTCCTCCAGGGACAACTTTACAGCTGGCGGGGAGGATCCACGACGGACAGAAGTACCTCACGAGCATCCTCTTTGTAGGACTGACTCTCAACACCTCTGAATATCAGTCTTTTTGGTATCGAAACGACCGCATCATATCCTCCTGATTGTTCGGAGGTGTCCATCCAGATTGGGCACCACGTGCTGGCCCTCACTACACACGTAGGACCTGACAATCTCCATTTTAGGCCTGCTTATCCAGCCCAACGATGGGGATCTTGGTCCAACGCTGGGGTAATGAATATCCTCACTTAAGAGGGTCAGATATTCATTCTCTCATACTCACTCTCATACTTGCTTGTATTACTCTGAATCTCACTTTGGCAATAAAGTGTCTTGTAGGTGTCTCTCCACTTCACATCCAACCACTACTCGCCTCGAAGCTTGTGGGCTTTAATAATCTCTTTTGATCAGGTACGATCAGTGGCGTCGTCTGTGGGAATCCAGCTTCTGCGTTTCCATCTCAAGACTAAAGCAATTCTTCATCAAACTCTGTGATTGTCATGGTCGATCAAGCGCCCAACAACAACTAAAACGTCCATTCCGTCGACCTCAACAACAACGCCAGTGACAACATCGGTAACAACAACGCCGGGAACGACATTAACATGGCCGGTCTTGAGCGGAATTATAGAGACGGGATGACCGCCTCTTCGTCATCCCAATCTCGACTGCACGAGGATGTCCATCCCCTCAGAACTATGAACCAAATGATTTCCAGAAGGTCCCCGTCCCCGCGGGTGCTGATGCCACGACCAGAGCTTTTTTCGCGACCATCAACCAAACAAATTACTTGATATTCTCGCAGGGTGAGCGGCTAAGGGCGCTCGAACACTCGTCGGGCCCCTAGAAGACACAAGAGACTTGACACTCCCCCCCCCTCCCCGTCAGAACGAAGGCCGTCTTCGGTCTCCCCTGCAGAGACACATGCGTGACAGAACGCGAAGCCTTTCTCCCCGACGGATTGGGCGAGGCCCCCACGTGGGAGATGTCGTACCCCAAATTTGCCCTATCTCTTTTATTTTTGTCTGGCTTTGGACTTTGCATTCCATTTGCATCATTTTATTACTCAATCATTTGCATCCTTTTATTACTCAGTCATTTGCATATCCCACATCTCATGGAATCAGACGCTTTGGTTTGAGGTATTAGGGTTGTGCCCTCTTTATGTTTAATTTTGTTTTGAGGTTTTCTTATCAGGTAAAAGAGAAACGCACCTGGTTCTCGATTAATGGATCGTAGAATGAATTTTGTCATCACGTTACGAGGTTGGTTCTCGCTCAAATTTATCAGAGCCTGGATTAGGGTTTATTTCCCTATATGTTGGTCAAGATGTTGGGGTTTCGGGTCCTTGGTTTTTGTGAAGATGTTTCTTTCGTCTGCCCCAAGGGTGGTTCAAAGCTCAGGGCATTAGGTCAAGAATTTCATCTATTTGCATTTCAAGCTTTCTTCTAAAAAAAAGAGTCTCTAAGTCACTGATTCGAGAGTTTGAAGTTTAAGTTGACGATTGTGAAATTGGGGCACAAGAAATGAGGTTGGAGGTCATGACGGTCAAGGCGTGTTTTGTTGCTTAAGTTACAAGTTATTGTGGTTCGAATATCAAAATTAGGGTTCTGGTCGAGAAGTGCATGTTTGGTTCAAGCGTGATGAAAAGATAAGGTTTAAGTGGCCATTTGTTTTGGGTTCAAATTAACCAAGTGGAATCAAATCCTCAAGCATTTATTTTGTTTGAGAGTTTGATTGAATTTTGAAAGATGAGGCGCATGATTACTTGGAATACAAGTTACAACATTTGCTCACGATTTCTTGAAATTCAAGTTATAAAAGCAAAATGTGCATTCAAATCATTCAAGTGGAAATTGCTTCTTTCAATCAAAATTTAAGAGTTTGTTTAATTTTCATACAACCAATTCATTCAAAATATTTCATTCAAGTTTTTTGTGTTCATTACACTTTTGAAACAAGTTACAAGACATGTCACAAATATGGAATCACGAGTTACAAATGCTATTTACAAAACAAAAAGGGAATTAAGTGTTTCTTCTTCAATTGTTGTTGCTTCCTCTTCAAGAGAATCGCCCACGTTCTTTACTAGCCTCGGCCTTTTCATCTTACAACCCCCGCTTGCCATCCGATACTCGTGCTCATGAAATAAGGAAAAGGAAAAATTTAGCAATTAACATATGAAAAATTCCAAGCAAGGTTTAATTGATAAAGAGAATTGGTATCTCATCATAAGGGTTTGCATTTGGAATCAGTTAGGGAGTTATTTTTCATTATGGTTTATTTTCTCCAAA